CAAACTGTGAGCGTTTCCTTAAGCGACAACACAGAAGAAATGCTAATTCGACATGTGTGAAACCACTTTCCACTTACCCAAATGGTCATGAGAGAAGATGTACGGTCCAATTATCCATTTGTACAAGATGGAGGCAAATGATTCCAAATTAGACAAATTTGCTGTTTGTGGAGACATTTGTCATGAAGCTATCATTTCTTATTGTAACTCACATTTCAAACGAATTTCAATGTTCAAATCATGATTCGAACACAGTGAGTAGGAGAAATATTTCTTTGGACACTTGTCATGGAGCTTTAATTATGTGTTGTAAATCAAATTTCTCACTAAGTCTTTGCGTTTTTGGAAAGATTGCTTCCTTGTTGAAAAAAGACCCTGCTTCTAACATAGCGAGTAGGCGAAATATATCAATAGATTGGTTCGTCTTAGATTCTAAGATCAATATTTGAAGAACCTGGATGACCCTAAACAAATGGATTTCTTTCCCTAGCGTGTAATTGTTGGAGTACCTAATATCGTACCAAAAACATCATATGTATTGGAGTTAATTGCCAAGCGTACATGTCGTTTTTGACGTAATATGTTTAGTTAGTTATTTTCCACAAGCTATCTAAATGAACTTAGCCAAAGGGTGCCAATGTCTTTCCTTGGAGAGTGGACGGTCGATGCTGTGGTGCATGGCGCGGCATACCTAAAGATGTTAAGCTATGGCACTTGATGTTACCCTGCCTGGCGCTTAGATTAATAGGGGATAAAACAAGGACAGGACCTAAGAGTTCATATACTGCATCTGTGTTGGGTATTCATGTTAAACTGTAATACGGTGTCTCACTTGGCTGGCTCAAGCGGCTTTTGTTTTGACTACATTAAAGTCAAGCATGTGAGAGTACGTAGAGTGAGAAAGTTTGCTTGTAAGCCACTTTTAACACATTCCACCAATATCCCGATGGGGTATTCCCCTGTTTATACCGATGTGCTGGACCAAACCGACGAAACGGTGTAACCACCAGGTTACACAAAAGCCCCTCAAGCAAGTGTGACAAACATTGTGTCACATACCAGTTAAAATGGGACGGTCGTTGACACAAATATTAATGGAATTTGGCTTATGTTTTAAATGATTAACTGTTAGTCATGTTTTCCTGGACGTAGACAATCCACTTCGTCATCTAACTATGTATGGATTTTTCAATATCGCATCTCCATATGATTGCAATCCACTTCCTAACAAAGAGGCATTCAAAGCGTCTGATCTAACTATGAATATGGATGACTAACGATCTACAATATATAAACACGGATAACGAAGCTGCCTAAGATGTTCATGTTTGAGTGAATTGTGGTTTCAAATCGGGTTGTTTCACCGTCAGTTCGTGATTTCTGGGGAAAGTAAGCAGCTGAATGTGTGAATATGTCTGCTAATCTCCATGGCTTAGGCAACTGTTATTGCAAAGTTGATATCCGAAGTAGAGATAGCATTAAGAATGAGGACAATTTTATGGATATACAACTTCTTTATTCTGTATAGGCGACGTTTCGACATAGATCCTAATGTCGTTGTCACTTGCTTGTCCTCATTCTTCATCTCATTAACTTCTACAATGGCAAACAAAGACGTCATATGCGCATTAGTAAACTTCAAGTCCAAATGGGGCGGTGGGGTAGCCTAATGGTTAAAGCGTTGGCTCGTCACGCCGAAGACCCGGTTCGAATCCCACATGGGCACAATGTGTGAAGCCCATTTCTGGTGTCCCCCGCCGTGATGTTGCTGGAATATTGCTAAAAGCCAAACCAAACTCAGTCAGTCAGTCAAGTCCAAATGGAACATTCACATTCTACCTCCTTTCCAGTGGAACAACTTAATGCCCCAATCTTTTTCCCAACTCTGTCTAGCGGGCTTAATGAAATCATCTCACACGCTCACGTTGCTATTAGACTGTTTCCTTCGAATAACATGTTCAAGAAAGTGGTTGCAAAAAAACATTATTACTGAAATATATTCTTTATTTTCTGATCCATTCAAACACTAACTCGGAAATGCCAAAGGTGGCTCTCTCGTCCTGCAGCTTGTTTTGCAGTGAAGTTGTTTTTCTTGTCCCATAATATTGATGATATTTCATGATGGCACCACGAAAAGATATTTATACTGAAATACGTTTCCGAAAATGGCAAGTATTGAATTTCATGATACATGAATCCCCACTTGTGTCATTTTCTCAGAATTATTCAAGAAATAGAATCCATGGCGTAAAATGCTCATAAACCAGCTTACTTAGTATTCAGTTTGTTATATTTTACATCAAAAGTACTTCCTGTTATTTGTGTTATAGAAACATTACACGCCTAATGGGACATTGCAATTGGCTTCGAATGCATAGTTGCAGAATTAGGAGTGACAAGTTCTACATTTGGTATTATAAGTCTTTTTCCTTGTTACGTTTTCTTTCATATATTTATACATTGCAACAAAATGGCCACAATGTCGAAATCGTCTATTACATTGTGTAAGTGTTATTAATATAAACTTTATGTAACCTTACCTTAACTAGTATTGATGTCATGGCGGTTTGTGAGAATATCTACAAGTATGTAAGGACTTCTTCCGTGGTCAAGTAGATTCGACAAGGGTTGCCCGGACGCGTCAAACGAAAGACGTTTAAAGACGAGACCTGTTGTTTCCTGTCTGGCGCCTGGGATTAAGAGATGAAATAAACACTGATCGCCTCAGAGGCAGTATACATTGTGTGGTATTTTTGTTAGTACATTTTCATCCAGTCACAATCACAAATAATCTTGATGTACATATCCTTATCCAACTACTGGAGAATTAAAATTCGGCGGTCACTCACACATGGAGAAATGTCCGTTTATTTCACATCTTTGACAAAATCGTTTTGCCGATGCAACTATGCTTCCCGATATGCCGATCCCGTGAGTTGCCTAATACGGGAAGCATGTGTTGAAGAAATACAATTCTAACCCGGATATTCTTGTGACACATGACACCTAAATCAGTATATTATTTCAACAATTTTATATAATATACCTCTACTGCCAATTCAGTTGTGTAGAGGACAACGATCAATACGTAGTTGTTTTAAGACACTTCTCTGTGTACGGTGGAAACAAACGGGTTTAAGACGCCTGTGGCCAAAGTGCGGTCGGTACAGCAAAATAAATCTTTCTTTCCAGACTGGCCAACGCGCCCCAGCTCCATAAATGGCACCACTGAGCTGCCATAGTCTCAGCACATTACGAATTTAAAAGCTACAATACAGATTATGAAAGATGATAGCAGTTTGATGTGGCCCTGCGGGTCGGAGTATTGATGTATGGTATAGACACCCTGTGTGGAGACAGTGATAATGGTAAAGCATATTCCTGCGAGACCGGGCAATCATTACCCATACGACCATACATATATACGCCAGAAAGAAATCATACACAAGGATGGTGTATTATTGCACACGTATTCCAACAATAAATCAGCTTTTGCGATCATTTTTATCTACGTTTGTACCATACATGTATACGCCAGAAAGGGCTCATACGGACGGCTGGGTATGTTTCTGCGCAAAGGTTTCAACAATGGATGAGTGTTTGCGGTCATTTTGACCTGCGTTTGTTTAAGGTCTGAGGTTGGCATGTCACGTCGTGTCTATATTCCCAAGTCCTTGGTCTGATTAAGCATTGATTTCCTGATTGTACTGGCGTTTTACGGATACACTGCACACATATTGTAACAATGGACCAAAGGATGAGGTCATTCTGACATGACTTCGTACAAGGGAACTGAGGCGGTCGTGTCACGTTGAAGCTGTATTTCCAATCTCTTCTTCTTGTTAAACACTGTTTGTTAGTTGTTTAACGCCGCACTCAGCACTATTCTAGCTATATGGCGGCGGTCTGGACGGTCAGGACGAGACAGTCAACAGCATGAACATCGATCTATGCAATCGGGATACGATAACGTGTCAACCAATTCAAACAGAGTACCCGATCCCTTTGATTGTCTCTTACGTCAAGCATGGGGTGCGCTGCATATAATAAAACCTAAATCATATTCTGTTCCGAATTTGGAGAACCATTTTGCAAATATTACGTACTCTTGTTTTGCATTATTTTACTAGGAACCGTCCCAAATCATATTTGAAAATCAACCATTGGCGAGAAAGTTAGTGTCCTTGTGGCAGGAGGTATCAGAAAGCTTAACTTTAGACCAGGTTTATAAAACCAATATTTAATGCACAAACGTCAGTAAGTGTCTTCACCTTTAATTCTTATGTTAGCTACCAATTAAAACAAGGACATGATCCTTTCATTCAAGCTTTCGCGCATGGTCTCCTGATGGGGAAAGCGAGAAAAGCTTTCCCACCCGGTACCCACATATGAAAAAGCAACCCGACCCTTTGATGTCGGAAACAACTGTGCCATACCGCATCCCTCCTTACCGTCCCCATGATTAATTTGCCTCATCAGCAACCCCATAAGACTACTTCATAGAGAAACGTGGATGTAAGCCTATCCGTTCAAAGGAAATTGAACGTAATGTTGAATGGAATTCTGGATATGAAGAACGACTCTTGAGAATATTGACGATAACACATAGGATGTTTGAGTTTCCATTTTGTACAGTAGCATCTTGAATATGATACCTCTAATAGTTTAGTTTAGATTATAGCATTAGGAATACATTGGACATGTTTTAAATAATTTACTTCTGGACAGATTAAAGCAAATATTGTTATATTCATACCTCACCACACAGAACCTCTTACAGCAACACGTCATGATTCCCGCACCTCATACAGGGATTAATGTGCATCAACCAATCCCTATAGTTCTTTTTGGAGATTTGGAATCCATTAAAAATAAGAATGGACACAACTTCAGGGTTTATAGATTAAAATTGATGCATGGTGTTGGCTGATTTCGTCTTCAGTTAATATATTGACGCTACTCCCAGCATTGCATTTGATACGTCACAGATACCAAACTCAGTTATATATTGTAGTGGTGCCTATATGTAATGGATATATAATATACGACAATGTCAGTGGGAACAACTGACAGACATTGCATGCAATGTGACCATTAACCCAACTTCAGAATGTATAGTCCAGTCAAATACATGGTGTTGGCTTATTTCTCCTTCAATTAACATATAGACGCATTGTATTTGATACGTCACTGATACAAACTCAAGATTTAATGTAGTGATGCCTGCATGTAATGGATGTGTCATACAGGGCAATGTCAGCGGGAACACCTGACTGACATTTCATGGAGGGTAACCAGAAACTGAACGACTTAAGCCTGTGACAGAAAGGTATATGCTAATTCTGTTGACTCCTTAATTGTCACACTCTACCAATGACAACATCATGAACGGACTTTACCCATCTGTGACTTAACTCTTTTGCATGTGCCAGAAGCACTCTTCGTTTGGAGGACTCTCGCAAGCAGCAATCAAAACCTGCTAAAGCCTGAATTTCAAAATTTCATTATTGTTTAGGCATCAGTCATAAAAAATTAATGTCGGAAAGGCGCAAAGTGATATTTTATATTCGTCTTTCAAATAAACGATTTCTCGTATATCTCATGAGACATTTCCACCGTTATCTATTATACTAAGTTCATAAATCATAACAGGATCAGGAAGATGCCTTGGCAGGAAGCAACAAATACTTCCTACTCTTGAAATCACTCTAAGTATCCTCTAACTAGTTCAAAAGAAATGAGAGAGATTCATTTTCAGACAAATCAGGATTAAAAAACATCCTACGTTTACATTAAAAAGATATTAAACAAATAGCCTAGATAGATTACTCATATGTTCGATTAATATTCTGCAAAATATACTTCCTGTTTAGGCAAGATATCGATCTGAGTACCGTCTATGAACTAATCAGATCAGACACACAGCTAAAGGATTTTCCATGTGTCAATCAACTGCAGGCTGAGCGCTCGTTCCTTTTTGCAAATGATAAGAAGCTCCAACTTCTCTCATCAATGTCCGTATTTTTTATTTCATCATAAACTGTGATCCATAGCTAATGTAAACAAGTACAATAACCTACGTATCTTTTTTCAACGTTTCTCCAAACTGTTGTTTCCGTAAATGACAACACAGAACAACTGCTAATTCGACATGTGTGAAAACACTTTCTAGAAAATGGGGAAGATGAACGGTACAATTATCCATTGGTACAAGACAGGGGGCAATTCATTCCAAATAAGATGTAGTTGCTGTTTGTGGAGACATTTGTCATGAAGCTACCATTTCTGATTGTAACACTCTGATTATAACATTTCGAAGGTAGTTTCAATGTTCAAAATAGATCATGATTCGAATACGGTAGGTAGGCGAAATATTTCTGTGGACACTTGTCATGGAGCTCTAATTATATACTGACGTACAAAAGAAAGTACACACCTGATGCTTTGGTAAAATGTTTTCCTGAAAACAGCGTAATATTTCGAAAAGTGTTTTGATTGCCACTCACAAGTCGCAAACATTGTGCACGTGTTGCAATAACACCATAGATATCGTACCCAATTGGAACATTGCTAGCAAAATATTTACTTTGTTTTAATAGTCTCAAAACACCAGGTGTGTAGTTTCTTTTGTACATCAGTATAACTTGTAAATCACATTTCTCACTAAGTCTTTGCGTTTTTTGGAAAGATTGCTTCCTTGTTGAAACAGATCCTGCTTCTAACACACTGAGTAGGCGAAATACATCATTAGTTTAGTTCGTCTTTGATTCTAAGATCAATATTTGAAGAACCTAGATGACCTTAAACAAATGGATTTCTTTCCCCTAGCCTGTAATTGTTAGAAAGTACTTAACATCGTATCAAAAATGGCAGATGTATTTGAGTTAATTGTCAGGCGTACATGTCGTATTTGACGTAATATGTTTAGTTAGTTATTTTCCACAAGCTATGTAAATGAACTTCGCCAAAGGGAGCCAATGTTTATTGCTTGGAGAGTGGACGGTCGATGCTGTGGTGCATGGCGCGGCATACCTAAAGATGTTAAGCTATGGCACTTGATGTTACCCTGCCTGGCGCTTAGAGTAAAGAGGATAAAACAAGGACAGGACCTAAGAGTTCATATACTGCATCTGTGTTGGGTATTCATGTTAAACTGTAATACGGTGTCTCACTTGGTTGACTCAAGCAGGCTTTTGTTTTGACTACATTAACTTTATTTAATTCGACATTAAACCCATTTCACATTACCTTTAGTAAGTGACATACTGTCCAGACTTAATCCTAAATTGCATGGTCAAGCATGTGAGAGTACGTAGAGTGAGGATGTTTGCTTTGAACCAGTTTTAACACATTCCACCAATATCACGTGGGGGATTCTGGGTTTATACCAGAGTGCTGGACCGAACCCAGCAAACGGTGTAACCACCAGGTTACCCAAAGGGCCCTCAAGCAAGTGTGATAAACATTGTGTCATATAAAGGTTAAAATGGAACGGCCGTTGGCAACAGATTAATGGAATTTGGCTTTTGTTTTAACTGATGAACTGTAAGCCATGTTTTCTTGCAAGTAGACAATCCACTTCGTCATTTAAGTATGTATGGATTTTTCAATATCGCATCTCCATGTGGTGTACTTTTATACCCAGCTTATTGTCTATCCCAAATTAGGCGCTGCATAGGCACATATTGCACACGGGTGATAGCGGATAGCAGTGGTGATCCTAACAAGAGGCTTTCAAAGCGTCTGACATACACGTCATATTCTTCATCGAATTATGTGACTTCGACAACGACGCCACTGCATAGGACTATGAATAACAATGAATAAAAAACTCAGCCTAAATATGTTGATGTTTGAGGGAATTGTGGTTTTAAATCTCGTTGTTTCACTGTGAGTTTATGATTTCTCGGGAATGCAAGCAGCTTTGTTTATGCCTGCTAATCACTATGGCTCAGAGATCTGTTATTGCAATATCGACATCCAAAGTAGAGTTGCACAGCCGAGAAACAGATTCAAACAAAATGGTACACATAAAGTCATATGGAGAATGAGTGTGTGATTTGGATTTAATACGGTTTGGACCAGTATTCCAGTTATTATATCTAGGTCTATCAGATTATGTCATGTGGCTGAAAGCCCAAGGAGATGCACACGTCTCAGACATTTACCACGTCAAATACACCAGCACCTGTATGGTGACAAGTCTTTAGAATCCGACCGAACCTTCATTCAAAACCACTAGCTATTGTGAACTCAGTGCAAACTTACACTGAAACATATACTGTTAAATCATGGAAATTTGTGCCGATGTTACCAAAGATTCTAGCACTGTTGAAGTAACACATCTCCCATGAATTCCGATTTTCTATGTTTCTGTCGCTCTTATTTTCAGAGCTTTGTGCTCTGGCATCTACTGAATCAACAAGAGAAAGTGCACAGTTTTCCCCAATTTCGTTTTATGTTTTAAATACTTATGCTAGGTAATATGTCCATTTAGATAATGCTGCTCTAATAAAGCTTTCAGTGGCATTATGTAACTGTAAATACCTCTAATTGCAGCGATAATGTACACACGCATTTATCTACCTCTAAAGCATTAGTAAAGTTCAAGTCCAAATGGAACATTCACATTTTACCTCCTTTTCAGTGGAACAACTTAATGCCCCAATCTTGTTCCCAACTCTATCTAGCGGGTTTAAAGGAATCACCTCACTCTCTTACGTTGCTATTACATTGTTTCCTTCGACTAACATGTTCAATAAAGTGGTTGCAAAAAAACATCATTACTGAAATATATTCTTTATTTTCCGATTCATTCAAACACTAACTAGGAAATGTCGAAGGTGGTTCTCTCGTCCTGCAGCTTCTTCTGCAGTGAATTTGATTTTCTTGTCCCATAATATTGATGCTATTTCATGATGGCATCAAGAAGAGATATTTGTGATGAAATACATTTCCCAGACTGGCAAGTATTGGAATTTCATGATACATAAATCCCCACTTGTGTCATTTTCTCAAAATTATTCAAAGAAGTGGAATCCCGGTCATAAAGAGGCCCCATAAAACAGCTTACTTAATAATCAGTTTGTTACATTTTACATCAAAAGTACTTCATGTTAATTGTGTTATAGAAACATTACACGGCCTAATGAGAGATTCTCTTCGAATTAATTGTTGCAGGATTAGGAGTGACCAGTTCCACATTTAGTATTATAAGTCGTGTTCCTTGTTACGTTTTCTTTCATCCTTTTTCCTAACAGCGTTCGAAATTAACGTCGATCCTTAGGCCCGAAGCCGACCATTCGGACCCACAGCTCTCCTTTTCTGCAGGTCCTTATGGCCGGCAGTTGTTGGGTTTTTTAAATGAGCGGAGGTACGCAGTAATGCAGGTGTTGTTAATCAGCGACAGTCAGTACCGAAATAGGAACAGTTGCGTAGTATGATAGATCTATAACATATGTTATATTTGGGATTACACTTTCTCAGTAAAGTACGGATTCTAGTACTCTTTCTGGGTTGAGTCCCATTCGGGATTCGAACCCACACCCTCAGTGTCTGACTTTGTGTGCTGGCGATTAGGTGCCTGACTCTGAGGGTGTGGGTTCGAATCCCGAATGGGACTCAACCCAGAAAGAGTACTAGAATCTGTACTTTACTGAGAAAGTGTAATCCCAAATATAACATATGTTACATTTGACCACTTTCTAAAATGGCAATGTGTATTTCATGATAGATCTATGTTACGGATGTACAAGCACCTCTAGAAACAGAACGATATTTAAATGTTTTAGGAAATATATTAGACGTCTTCCAGCAGAGAGGAGTGTACCCCGAGTCTTAACGGGCTTTCAGAGATCCATCAAACGGGACACCGGGTATTCTTTTGTACTGTCATTCTGTATTTATTTGTTAACGCTATATTCTACGTTACTCCGGCTAAACACGGCGCTCTGTAAATAGTCGAGTCCGGACCTGACGGCATAGTGATTTATAAGTCACCTACCGATCCCGCT